CACCGGGTCCGGGACACGAACCGCGGTCAACTACGTGGGAATCCAGCGACATAGCCATTACACTAACTGCTGGTTCCCAGTAACACTAATCTTTTTAAAAAAGTAACCATTATCTCATTCTCTATAAAGTATCTCTTTCTTTCTTCAAACCATGTATTATTTCTATGCTTTCTCACTTTGTCTCTGTATCTCTCCTACAAGCACATGTTCACCTAGGTAAATTGTTTTAAAAAATGTACTATAAGTAGGACTTAGCAGAAAGAAAATTGAAATAATAATCACTCAGTTATCTGAAGATCAAATGCAAAGGCAGTGATCCTATAGTTTGTAAACTGACTCAGCAGTTTAAAGAGGAACTTGACTCAACTCGGATTCTCAACAGGGCCAAACTTATGTTTACATACATCTGAACTTAGAGAAATCTAAAAGATATGTATTTTTTTTTTTTTTTTTTTAAGATAGAGTAGCCCTATTGCAATCCTCTTGCCTCAGCTTCCTGAGTAGCAGGAACTACAGGCTCACACCACTGAATTCAGCTTTTATGTGGTTTGGGAATCCAACCTAGGCCTCCCATGTGGCCTTAGTCAGCCAAGAGGGGCACTGACCAGTGCATGCTAAAGAGGCTGGGCCCATCAAAAGATTTTCACAAGTAGAATTTGAGCTGTGGTATACATTTATCTATCACACAGAGCTAAACCACAATGTATAAGGTTGTTTAGTGTTTTTGTGACCTGCCAAGCACAGTATCTGCTTAAGTTTACCTGAATTTATTCCATATGGTTTTTGTACATTTCAGTAAAATGGTAGGTTTTCCAGGATATAATTAGAGTATCTGAATCTTTACATTGATTAAAAAGTGATATCTACGTATTGACTTTTGGTTGAAAAAGGTAAAAATACTCTATTAAAATTTTTCATCAGAGGCTAAGAACCAGGTTCCCTAGTTTCCCTGGGGACAACCACCTTTAGATGCAGATTGGCTCCTGTGCAATAAATCTTTGGGTACTATCTGTCTGCACGGTAGAAAGCTAAACACAGAGGCTTTAGAAGTGTTTCTTACAAATAATACACAAACACACGCATCTTGACAAGACAGAATACACAAAGCAGATCATATTCCAGATCATACCAACCAAATTTTTCCTTCTCTTAGTCTTCTTTCCAAGTTAAAGTAATACCCCTTGCCCCTGAACCCCTGGTTCTTTCCTGAACCAAGACAAACAATGAAATATCAAGATAAGGTCTAGGCTCAGCTCACTGAGATTGTTTTAATAAACATTACTTTAGGGCTAGCAGGAGCATGGAGCTTAAGGCAACTGGATCCCACATAGCCAACTCCACGGTTTAAGTCCCAGACCCAGTGGCTTGAAAATCACATTGTGCAGGTGTGCATGCATGCCCCAAATCCTGAGAATGGAGAAGGGACTGTGGCATGGCCATGTCCCCTGGGGGGTGACTTCTCATTTTCTATCTCTCTGCTTGTCCACAGAGCACATTGTGACCTATGGCAACAGCAACAACAAAAAAATATATTAAAATGTATAACCTGAATTTCTAAAATAGATTAAATTGATACCTAATCATTTGCAAAGTAAGTAACACTAATCCTTTTTTTTTTTTTTTAGAGGTTTTCGCTATAGGGTGTGTGCGCTCACCAGACAGACAGAGGGAAACATAGAAACAGAAAGCAAGAAATCACTCCCCAGGGGGGATGGTCATGCTGCAATCCCTTCTCCTCCATTCTCCTCTCGGGATCTTGGGCATGCATGCACACGCGCCTGGCGTGAGTTTTAAGCCACCGGGTCCGGGACACGAACCGCGGTCAACTACGTGGGAATCCAGCGACATAGCCATTACACTAACTGCTGGTTCCCAGTAACACTAATCTTTTTAAAAAAGTAACCATTATCTCATTCTCTATAAGGTATCTCTTTCTTTCTTCAAACCATGTATTATTTCTACATTTTAGGAATCCTGTTTTTTTTTTTTTTTAAATTTTATTATTATCAATACCTAAACATTCCAGGCATCAATATTAAAGAAGAAAAATGTGTTCGGTCACATAGCATTCAGTGGTAATATTGTGATAATAAATAAATACAGGGCCTTTACCCCTAAATTTTCCAAGGGAATATCTTATGAAACTTCTCACCAATAGTTAATGGAAGACACATACAGAGTTGGCAAATAGAAAAATATACCTTTAAATGATGCATGCATTTAAAAAACATATTTTAAGACAATTTCCAACAATGAAGTTCTGGTACTGTTTATATGTTCATATCTTAAAACCTTAAATGAATGAATTTTTTTTTTTCAGGACTTCAAAGTACATGATAGAAGTGACAGAACTGAAAGAAAAACAGATAAATCCACAAAAATGGAAATTGAAATGCTTCTTTTCAGTAGCTAAAAGAAGTCACAAAATCAGTAAGGACAGAGACAATTTGAACACTACCATGGATCAACCTGATCAAACTAACACACTAATGGGACACTTGACCTAACTACAAGAGAGTCCAGGTTCTTTCAAGTACACATGTGAGCCATAGGTCTTGATAATGTAAAAGCATTAAAAAGGACTGAAATCCTACAGAGAATGCTTGCATATCATAAGACATAAATTAGAAACCAGTAAGATATGTCTCCCCCCCAAAAAACCACAATCCAACTATTTGGAAACTAAAAGGTATAATTTTAAATAAGCATCAATCAAAGAAGAAATGGTAAAATCAATAAAGTTTTCGAATTGAGTGACTATGAACAAAACAACATAATAAAAATTCATGGAATATAGATACAACAATGCTTGCAATGTTTATATCAGAAATGAAGAGAGGGCCAAATTCAATAATTTAAGCTTCTTCTTTATGAAACTAGAAAAAAAATTCAAAGTAAATGTAAGAAAAGAATAGTAATAATAACAAAAGAGCGTAAGTAAATGAAGTAGAAAAGATATACCATAGGGAAACAATAAAGCCAAAGGCTTTTTGTTCATTTGTTTATTGAGATTTTTGCTACAGGGTGCATGTGCTCACTAGAGAGACAGAGACAAAAAAACAGAAAGCAAGAAATCACCCCCCGGGTGGATGGCCACGCCACAATGCCTTCTCCTCTATTCTTCTCTTGAGATCTTGGGTATGCATGCAAACGTACCCAGCATGAGTTTTAAGCCTCTGGGTCTGGGACTCGAACCATAGTCGACTATGTAGGAGCCCAGTGATGTAACCATTATGCCATCTGCTAGTCCCAGAGAAGAGCTTACTTAAAAAAAAAAAAAAAAATCAATAAAACCCAACAAACTTGGGGTCAATAGGTGGCATGGTGGTTAAAACGCTGGACTCCCACATGGTCAACTGCAATTAGGGTCCCAGACCTGTCAGCCAGAGTAATCAAGAAAAGGAGGAGTGAGGAGCAATTAGCGGGAGATGACACAAGGTACCAATATCTAGAATGAAGGAAGGAACATCAACTACAGATATGACAGACTTGTGGCGAGTTAAGTGAATATTGTGACTGCTATGTAAATAAGTTTGAAATTAAGGTAAAATGAAAAAATTCACTGAAAGATACAAATGATCAAAACAGACTCAGAAGAAACAGAATCTATAAATAACCCTTTTCATCCATTGAATTCCCAGCCCAGAATGCTTCGCTAATGAATGCTAACAAAAATGTAAGGGAAAGGAACCAGCAGTTAGCGTAATGGCTATGTCGCTGGACTCCCACGTAGTCAACCACGGTTTGCGTCCTGGACCCGGTGGCTTAAAACTCACGCTGGGCGCGTGTGCGTGCGTGCCCAGGATCCCAGGAGGAGAATGGAGGAGAGGGGATTGCGGCGTGACCATCCCCCCTGGGGGGTGATTTCTCACTTTCTGTCTCTCTCTGTCTGTCTGGCGAGCGCACGCGCCCTATAGCAAAAACCTCTAAAAAAAAAAAAGAGTAAATAAACCATGACCTAATGTAGTTTATCCCAGTAGTGGAAGATTGGTTTAACATCCAAAGTGTAATCAATATAAATCACCATATTAGCAAATTATAAATAAAAATATATAATCATCTCAACAGATGCAGAAAAATGCATATGGGCCAATTCAATGTTCATTCATGATAAAAACTTTCAGCAAAAAAAGGAATAAAAGGGAAGTCCCTTAATTAGAAAGAGTACCTACCAAAAACCTAATTAACATCTTATTAGTGGATGTTCTGGTCAATGCAATAAAACAAAAAGAACAAGAAAACTCATGCTACTTTATTTCAAAAAGGATTATAAAAGTATAGTTATTGGGACCAGCAGTTAGCGTAATGGCTATGTCGCTGGACTCCCACGTAGTCGACCGCGGTTCGCGTCCTAGACCCGGTGGCTTAAACTCACGCTGGGCACATGTGCATGCGTGCCCAAGATCCCGAGAGGAGAAGGGATTGCAACGTGGCCATCCCCCCTGGGGGGTGATTTCTCGCTTTCTATCTCTCTGTCTCTCTGTCTGTCTGGCGAGCGCATGCGCCCTATAGCAAAAACTTCTCCAAAAAAAAAAAGCATAGTTATTAATGGAGTAAGGTACTAGTGAAAGGTAAACATACACATCAAAGGAGCAGAACAAAGTTCAGACTAGACCTTTACAAATATGTTCAACTGATATTCAACCAACTACTCATTCAATGAGAGAAAAAACACTGTATTCAATGAATGGAGCTAGAACAAAAGGGTACCAGTACTGGAAAGAAAATGAACCTTAAGCTTTATTTCATAGTATATGCAAAAAAAACCACTTGAGATTGATCATAGACAAAAACATTTAAGATGTTTACAATTATCAGATGGTCAAAAATTTCTTAGAAGGGGCTGGCAGGTGGTGTGGTGGGTAAAGTGCTGGACTCCAACATGGCCAACCACTAGTCCCAGACCAGGTGGCTTGCTTTCTCGCTTTCCCTCCCTTTCTCTCTCTCCCTATCTCTAGTGAATGCATATTCCCTGTAGCAAACTAAAACATAATAATAATCATAAATAAAATTACATTAATATTATTTAAAAAATTCTTAGAAGATAAAAAAAGTTGACATTAAAAGAAAAAATTGATAAAATGAACCTAAATAACTATTTACAACTTCTGCCTTTTAAAGAGTCACTATAACAAAAATGTAGACACAGACTGGAAAAAAAAATTTGTAAAACATGTATTTGACAAGACTTCTTAGCAAGAATATGTAAAGAACCCTTAAAATTCGGGACCAGTAGGTTGCATGGTGGTTAAGGAGCTGGACACTCCCAAATGGCCAACCATGGTTCGAGTCCCACACTTGGTGGCTTGCTTTCTCATTCCCCGCCCCCTATCTCTCTGTCTCTCTCTCTGGTCAAATTAGAATAAATGAACTAATAAATAAAATTAAAAAAAAAAAACCCTGACAATTCATTAAGAAAAACAAACCAATTAAAAATAAGCAAAAGATTTGTTCAGGAACTTCAACAAAGACATCCCAAGAAGATGCATACTAATTAACACTTAAAATGATATATATTATCACTAGTCAACAGGGAAATATAGATTAAAACCAAAAAGAACAAGAGAACTCATGCTACTTGATTTCAAAAAGGATTATAAAAGTATAGTTATTAATGGAGTAAGGTACTAGTGAAAGGTAAACATATACAAAATACTTTTTACACACCCACCAGAAATGTTAAAATTAAAAATAATGACAATAACAAGTGCTAGAAACGATGAAGAATAATATACTTACAAGCATATTAAACATACCCTTACATAACACAGTATTCTACCCACTCCAAAAAACTTACTCAAGAAAAATAAAACATATTTCCATATGTTTGTACAAAAAAGTCCCAAACTGGAAAGAAACATTAATGTTAGTCAACAGGTGAATGGACAAACAGGAAATACTATTTGGTGATGAATAGGAGGAATGAACTTTCCATTCACTCAGTAACACGGATAAAGCCCAGAGACAGCATGCTGAGAAAAAGAAGCCTCTCATGAATGGGTCACAAAGTTCAAATATGATGATGTGTATATGATATTTACATGAATTTCATGGCCCTGTAATTCAGGCTTAATACAACAACTTTGGACAGGCAATAAAATGAAGGTAGAATTGCTCATAGTTCTCCATTATTTCTTCAGCTATTCTTTCTACATATCTGATATCTCCCCTAACAGACTTTTTTCACTGCCATGCTCACCAGTGAGACAGACAGAGGGAAAGGTAGAAAGCACCCCTCCATGTGGTGTGGTCATGCCACAATCTCTTCTTCTCCACTTCTCCATCATGTCAGGATTCGGGGCCATCATCACAGGTTCTCAGTGTGTTTTTCAAGCCACCAGGGCCAGGATTTAAACCACATATTGGCCAAGTAGATCCAGTTCTCTAACCATAAGCTACGAAGACGCCCCCCTCCTAAATACTAAATTGCACTCATTTATTGTAATAATCAGGTCAAAGTCCTATACAGAAGCTATGCTATGTGATCCAGCCCCACCTGCTGTCACCACAGAAAACCTAACTCGCATCCCAAACAACTGTTATATCCTCAGGACTCTGGGACTATTTTTGTCTCCACTTGCTCTGCCAAATAGCCACAAGGTTTACCCACTCACTGATTTCCAGCTTTTTTTGTTGTTGTCTGTTTATGTTTTTAGGTTATTTGCCATAGGGCACATGCAGTCGTGGGAGAGACAGAAAGCAAGAAAGTGAGAAATCACCCCCTATGGGGTATGGCCACACAATAATCCCTTCTCCTTCATTCTCCTCTTGGGATTTTAGGCACGCGCGCACACACACCAGGCACGATTTTCAAGCCACCAGGTTTGGGACTTGAACTGCAGTTGGCCACGGGAGTCCAGTACCTTAACCACTAAGCCATCTGCTGGCCCCTGATTTCAAGTTTTTGTTCAAACGTCTCCATCACAGAAAGGCCTGACCCGACCACTTTGGCTAAAATCACAACACTCCTACCTTAAGGACACTTTCTCTCCTTCCCTACTCACTCATCTTAGTACTTCAGTCTTCTAATAGAAGACATTCTTATTGTCTAAGTGTCTACCCTTCCTACAAACAGAAGGTGAACACCATGAAGGCAGTGCTGTCCTCTCATTGCTGAAAGACCAGGGCCTGCAAGAGCACCGGGCCAGTAACAGTGCTCAGCAAACATTTGTTGAGTTTGTTTATTTGGCAGCTTATTTTTCAGACAAGGACCCCACCTACTTCACTCTTGTTTCCCAGTACCTAGCACCTGGTAGATGTTTAATTTTTGTTGAATAAATGAATGAAATAAATTAGAAAAAAGCAAGTAATCTTAAAAACATTTAAAAAAATTATTTCCATCATGAGAGTGAGAAACTAAGACAGAGAACAAAACAGAGAAGTACCCTCAGCAGGGTCATGCGACAACTACTACCCCCAAAGCCTTTCTCACAGCCAAAACCATAGGCATGTGTGCCCAGTGCGAACAGACGCACAGGTGAGCTGAATCACACTCTTCCACATGCATCCAGCTTTGCTGGAGCAGTGTGCTGCTGCTGCGTACCAAGCTGGCCCGTGAAAGGGGCTCACCTGTAATTGTTGTTGTAGATGGGTGATCTCAGCGATTCTCAACTCTCTAGATTTGTTAGTACTCTCAATTTCTTGTCTTTGAGTGGTCAATCGACATCTGATATCTTGAAGTTTTCCTTCTAATTGATGCTTTTTATCATTCTTTAACAAATAAAAGATAATAGGAATTATTACCATTGTTAATGGTTCAATGTTAGCATATTTCCAAAGCAAAAACTGCACTTACTAGAGCTTCTAATTCAAATTCCAAAGTCTTTTTCTTAGCTTTCAGTACAACTATGTCCTCTTGTTCTTTGTTTCTTTGATTCAGTAGTTCTTGCCTTCGATTCCGTTCCCACTCAAGTTGTCGTTGTCTTTCAAGTTCCCGTTTTGCAGCCTGTGACATTTACAAACAGACAATTTATTAATTATTCAGTTCTTACATTATACAGTGTTTCTTAACAAAAGTAACATAAGTCTTTCCTCTTAGGGATGACATATAAGACATTATAAGAAATCATATTCCAAGACAATGACAACAAACATTTTATAAAAATACACTATTCCTTCAGTGGGGGAAAAAGGGAAATTTAGAATTGACTATTCTATTTATAAAAGATAAGAATTGTCAGGATCACTTCATCATTGGAATTTCATTCTTTATGCTTTTGAGGACACTTGATGTGCTAAATAAAAGTGCTTTCTTATTTACTGGTTCAAGAAGAGAAGAAAAACTGACTTTCTCTAGTAAAGTTAAATTAAAACCCGGGGGTGGCTCCATTCTCCTCTTGGGATCTTGGGCACACATGCACACACACCCGGCATGAATTTAAGCCACCAGGTCCGGGACTCGAGCAGCAGTGGACTACATGGGAGTTCAGGGACATAGCCATTATGCCAACTCCTGGTCCCTATTTATCTCAAGTTTTAAAAGTCTTGCAGCCAGCAGGTGACATAGTAGTTAGGGCGCTAGACTCCCTGAACACCATGAAGGCAGTGCTGTCCTCTCATTGCTGAAAGACCAGGGCCTGCAAGAGCACCGGGCCAGTAACAGTGCTCAGCAAACATTTGTTGAGTTTGTTTACTTGGCAGCTTATTTTTCAGACAAGGACCCCACCTACTTCACTCTTGTTTCCCAGTACCTAGCACCTGGTAGATGTTTAATTTTTGTTGAATAAATGAATGAAATAAATTAGAAAAAAGCAAGTAATCTTAAAAACATTTAAAAAAATTATTTCCATCATGAGAGTGAGAAACTAAGACAGAGAACAAAACAGAGAAGTACCCTCAGCAGGGTCATGCGACAACTACTACCCCCAAAGCCTTTCTCACAGCCAAAACCATAGGCATGTGTGCCCAGTGCGAACAGACGCACAGGTGAGCTGAATCACACTCTTCCACATGCATCCAGCTTTGCTGGAGCAGTGTGCTGCTGCTGCGTACCAAGCTGGCCCGTGAAAGGGGCTCACCTGTAATTGTTGTTGTAGATGGGGGATCTCAGCGATTCTCAACTCTCTAGATTTGTTAGTACTCTCAATTTCTTGTCTTTGAGTGGTCAATCGACATCTGATATCTTGAAGTTTTCCTTCTAATTGATGCTTTTTATCATTCTTTAACAAATAAAAGATAATAGGAATTATTACCATTGTTAATGGTTCAATGTTAGCATATTTCCAAAGCAAAAACTGCACTTACTAGAGCTTCTAATTCAAATTCCAAAGTCTTTTTCTTAGCTTTCAGTACAACTATGTCCTCTTGTTCTTTGTTTCTTTGATTCAGTAGTTCTTGCCTTCGATTCCGTTCCCACTCAAGTTGTCGTTGTCTTTCAAGTTCCCGTTTTGCAGCCTGTGACATTTACAAACAGACAATTTATTAATTATTCAGTTCTTACATTATACAGTGTTTCTTAACAAAAGTAACATAAGTCTTTCCTCTTAGGGATGACATATAAGACATTATAAGAAATCATATTCCAAGACAATGACAACAAACATTTTATAAAAATACACTATTCCTTCAGTGGGGGAAAAAGGGAAATTTAGAATTGACTATTCTATTTATAAAAGATAAGAATTGTCAGGATCACTTCATCATTGGAATTTCATTCTTTATGCTTTTGAGGACACTTGATGTGCTAAATAAAAGTGCTTTCTTATTTACTGGTTCAAGAAGAGAAGAAAAACTGACTTTCTCTAGTAAAGTTAAATTAAAACCCGGGGGTGGGGGGCAGACAAAACCAGGCTTTCTTCCATCAAAAAATAAATGATTTATCTTAAGTTTTGAGGGTTGTTTTTTGGTTTTTTTTTTTTTTGGTGGGAGAGGTTTTTGTTATAGGGCACATGTGCTCGCCAGAAAGACAGAGACAGAGAGTCAGAAAGCAAGAAATCATCCCCCAGGGAGGATGGTCATGCCACAATCCCTTATCCTCCATTCTCCTCTTGGGATCTTGGGCACACATGCACACACACCCGGCGTGAATTTAAGCCACCAGGTCCGGGACTCGAGCGGCAGTGGACTACATGGGAGTTCAGGGACATAGCCATTATGCCAACTCCTGGTCCCTATTTATCTCAAGTTTTAAAAGTCTTGCAGCCAGCAGGTGACATAGTAGTTAGGGCGCTAGACTCCCATATGGTTGAATGCAGTTCTAGTCCCGGACTCGGTGGCTTAAAACTCATGCCAGAGGCATGTGCATGCATGCCACAAATCCCAAGAGGATACTGGAGAAGAAGGGATTGCTGCATGGCCAACCTCCCTGGGGGGTGATTTCTTGCTTTCTGTCTCTGGCGAGCACACATGCCCTATAGCAAAAAATCTCTCTTAAAAAAAAAAAAAAAAAGCCTGTGACACCCACTTCCACAATCATCCACTTCCTTTATACCATAAAAGCTTCCCTAAGTTTTCTGGAAATGCCAGCTCTCTCTGACAACAGCTGGGTAGAGTACATTTCACAGCATCTCTCATTCTCCACTGTGATCACGTCTGAGTCACCCACCTTCCAAACATGCTGGAAAGTCCTGGAGGACAAGTGGACTATCTAGTTACCACTGAATCCCCAGGGACTAACAATGCCTGGCACACGGTAAATGTCTACTGAAAAAGTTAAGCACTCTGAAATGTCACTTTCTTTATATAGCGAATTAAAGGCTGTCTATTTTGGTTGTCCATTCAGGAAATTAAAATCACGTTAGCTATCTGTGCATATCGGCAGCCCATGGCTACAAGCTTTCTAAAGCCGTCATCAGAAAATAAAATCAAAGTATTATTTTTTTATAAAGGAAAATTCTTCATCTTTATATTTTATTAACAATGGGAGAATCACGGTTTTGTTTCTGTGTCAATATGTTAAAATTGGAAAGACAGACAAGAAGCTGGCTTGGCACCAAATTTATGAACATAAATGTTCATGAACATAGTGAGGATTTCTCAGCCATATTTATAAGTGTAAATAAAAAACGTTGTAGCACAGTATAACTGGTATGATACCATTACTGTGGCTTAAGAAAAAAATCACAAAATTGTCCACCCTCCCCACCATATAAGCCTTTAAATCTTACAATAGGTATACAAATACAGATGAAAAAGTCTGGAGGAACTGCTCTCAATGATTCATTACAAGACTGGACCATAAAAAACTTGTACATAACTGTCCATAACTGCAGTATTTATAATGGCTAAAAAGAACAAACAACCCAATGTCTATAACTATGAATGGATGAACAATGTGAGGTCTTATCCATACAATGAAATATTAACCAGCATAAAGAGGAATTAAGTACTGATTCATGCCGCAATATGAATGAGCCTTGCAAACATTATGCTATGTGAACGTGAGATACAAAAGGCCACATATTGTATGAGTTCATTGGTAAGAAATGTCAAGAATAGGCAAGTCTATAGGGATAAAAGTCAGCTAGTGATTGCCAGGGGCTGGATGGGGGAGGAGAGAAATGAGGAGTAACTGCTTAATGATTAAAGGGTTTCTTAACAGGGTGATGAAAATGTTCTGGAATTAGACAGTAGTGCCGGCTGTACAATGCTGTGAATGTACTTAAGCAATTAAATTGTAAAAAACGGGAAAAAAAAGATCATCTGAATACTTCCAAAAGAGAGAGGATGCTTGTGCACTGGTCAGGGGCTTCGTAGCCACCTACCTCCCGCCTCTCGATTTCTTTCCTCCTCTCCTCCTCTCTCTGCCGTTCCAGCTCCCGCTGCTTTTCAAGCTGCTTCTCCAACTCCAGTTGCCGTTTGCGCTCCTGCTCCTGGCGCTCCCGCTCTTTCCGTTCCTGCTCTGCCCGCTCCAGTTGGGCCAAGCGCTCTTGCTCTTTGCGCTGCTGCTCCAAGAGAGCTTGTCTTCGTTTCTCCAGCTCCAGATTGCCACGTTCAAAATTCTCCCGCTTCTTATCTTCAAATGTTACTTTAAAACAAGGAACGGAATGACTGTGAAAAGTCACGACTTCCAACATACTGTTTTCAAAGGAAACACCTGGTATATATGAAATTTGTAGTGGTGATCCAATCCGGAACTCTCGATGTTCCTTACAATGCCCTTGTCAATAATCACTACCCCACACACTTCATCTAACTTCTCTGCTTCCAGTTCGCGACACAGTGTTTCTAGAAAATTCTTCTGTAACAGTTCTACATCATGACCCAATCTCTTCTCCTTCCTTGGCGCTCTCCCCTTTCCCCCCTTCTGTATGACCTAGCTTCAGCAACTGATCCCTATCTTTCTCTCTTTTCTGTACCACGAACCTCTCCCATGTCCTTCTTTCCCTCAGCCTGTAACCAAGCCGCTGTCTCTCTTATTCAATAATCTCTCGGCCTAGAAAGTGAGCAATCCATTTCACACCTAAGAACAAGTTGTGCCCTAATCACACCAATTAAGAATATTAGAGCTATTATCCAGTTCTAGGATTATTTTCTCTAATCCTTGTTAACGTGTTTACATTTTACTATATTCATTTAAAAGAATGCCATCCTCCATGTTCCCTACCGTTTGCAGCAGTAAGGATTTCAGCATTTTGGTACCAACTCTAACCAGTGACACTCTCATGGCCAGTCTGTGCAGCACACCATGCCCGTCATCCCCAACCTACTCTGAGAACTCCGCTTTTCACTCGGTAGGTATAAGCATACTTCCTCGGCCTCTTCCCACAGTCCTGCTTGGATTCACTGCTTCAGCCAGACCTTCCTCACTTACTGGAGTCAAGGATTAGATATCAAGGACGGCAAGTATGTTTTTTGTTTGTTTGTTTTCTTGTACCTTTGGCAGTTTCAGAAAGGCAGCATCCCCCATTAAACTGCAAGTCCCTCTGCCACAGAAAGGAACGAAGTAATGATACATGCTACAATGTGGACAGATCTCAAAAACACTGTGCTAAAAGAAGCCAGATATAAAAAGCCACATATTATATGATTCCAGTTACATGAAATATACACAAAGGGTAAATCCAAAGAGACAGAAAGCAGACTGGTGGCTGCCAGGGTTGGGAAAAGGGGATTTGGGGGGTAACATGGTACGGAGTTCTCTTGGGGTGATAAAAATGTTTCGGAACAAGATAGAAGAGATTGCGCCACATTGTGAGTGTATTACATGCCCCTGGTACAGGCTAAACATTTGTGTCTTCCCCTGCCCCCCCACTAAATTCATATGGTGGAGCCCTAACCATTTCAATGTAATGTATTGAGAGATAGTGCCTTTGAGAAGTACTTAGGGTTCAGTTAGGTCATGGGGTGAGGTTCACAGGATGACATTAGTAGCACCATGAAAAGAGGAGGGCTCTTTTCTCTTTGCATGTCCATGCCAAGGAAAAGCCACGTTAGGACACAGAAAGGCATCTACTATCTGCAAGCCAGGAAGAGAGCTCTCTCCAGGAACTTAACTGCTAACATCCTGATCTTGGATTCCAGCCTCCCAAACTGTACAATTTAATTTCTACTCTTTAAGCCACCCCATCTATGCCATTTTGTGATACTGGCCTAAGTCCATTAAAAAGTCACTGAATTACAACTGATTTACATACTTTAAAATAATTTTTTTTTTCCGCCAGAGTGCACGTGTGCTCACCAGAGAGAAACACAGAAACAAAGGGAGAGAGGGACAGGAGAAAGCACTCCCCACGGGGAATGGTCATGCCACAACCCTTCTCCTCCATTCTCCTCTCGGGATCTTGGGTACCCATGCACACGCATCCAACATGAGTTTAAGCCACCGGGTCAGGGACTCAAACCGCGGTCGACTACATGAGAGTACAGTGACATAGCCATTACGCTAAATGCTGGTCCTCCCAGTTAATTTTTGTTGTTGTTGTTGTTTAAGGTTTTTGCCACAGGACACATGCACTTGGCAGAGAGAAACAGAGAGAGTGAGAAATTTAGGGGGGATGACAACATTGCAATCCCCTCTCCTCCATTTTGGGGATGCACACACATGTGCCAGCACGGTTTTCAAACCGCCAGTCTGGGATTTGAACCATAATCAGTCATGAATGAGTCTAGTGCCTTAATCACCATGCCAGCAATCAACTTTATATTATGTGAATTTCATCTCAGTTCTAAAACCCTTGGACTGGGTGGTGGTATGGTTGTTGAGGTGACTGGATCACACATTGCAGACTGAGTGGTTTGAGTCCTGAACCCAGCAGCACATGTGCAAGTGTGCCCTAAATCCCTAAAGGTGAGTAGAGGAGAACTGATCGTGGCATGGCCATCCCCTGGGGGGATGATTTCTGACTTTTCCTCTGTTTCTCTCTGGCCAGCCCATGCCCCCTCCAGCAAATTTTTTCTTTTTTTTTTTTTTACATTTTAAAAATAATTTTAGAAATTACAAACCATAGAAATCTCTATCCATTTTAATTCTAGTACCTGGCACTATTCCTAGTAACCAGGAGGCACATTATAAATGGCTCATAAAAGAATGGATCCTCAAACTAAATGCTCTGATCATGTCACTTTTTGTTGAAAATCTAAAATGAGGGCCAACCAGTGGCATAACAGTTAAGATGGCTGGATCCCACATGGCCAACTGTGTGGTTTAAGTCCAGGACTCACTGGCTTGCAAAACACGCCAGGCACTGGTGTACATGTTTGCAAGCCACATGTACGCATGCCCCAAATCCTGAAAGGATAAATGCAGGAGAAAGGATTATAGTATGATCATCCTCTGGGGGGATGTGTTCTCTCTCTCTTTTCTGTCTCTCTCTCTGAAGAATGCATATGTCCACTGGCAAATTAAAAAAAAAAATCTTAAATGAATGGCTATTACCAACATAAAATTAAAATTCCAAACTCTAAGCATTCCTCTCCTTATCTGTCATTAAGACTTCATTTGTATTGTTATCAAACCCCCCAAAATTCCTTGCATCCACTCGGTGACCCTATTCATCTTCAGGTCTCAACTCAACCGTGACCTCTTCCAGAGGTTTAATTGCTCCTGTCTTCACAGTCTACACCAACTAGCCAATAATAAGCTCTGCTGTGCATCTATAATAACTCTCCAGGAATTTATCACACACCAGGCACGTGTGTGTGCATGCCAAAAACCGTGAGAGGAGAATGGTGGAGAAGGGATTGCAGCATGGCCATCCCACCTAGGGAGTGATTTCTTGCTTTCTGCCTCTATGTCTCTCTAGTGAGTGCCTGTGCCCTATAGCAAAAATCTCTCCTAGAAAGAGTGAGAGAGAGTGTGAGAGCATGGACTACACATTATTAACATGAAGATTTTATATGTACTGAACACACAGATTTGCACATGGCACGTCTACACTAAGTAGTTCATCCTTGAACAAAGTAATTTAGAGAATAAACTGGAAGAGCTATGTCCTTGGCAGGCCAATTAACTGCTGAGCATTCTATATGTGGCGAAATAAAACCTACAAAGTATTTACCATTAAGAGGCACCTAAATTAATTTTATTTGCTTCTATGTATCATTATGAACTCATTATTAATAATTCATAGCCACTTTAGACTGTTTTAATAGTATGGTGGACTCATTATTATAAATGAGGACTATTTAAAATAAATTCACATTAAATTTAAAATAGGTTCCTGCTATTCTAGTTTCCAATTCTCTTGCAGCAACCTGAGAAAATAACCGTAGGTGATTTTAGTTTCTATTTCTGCCCCAATGATATCAAGCAGACACCTTAACAATTTTTTTTTAATTTCCAGAGAGCACATGCACTTGTCAGAAAGGAAGAAAATACTCCCAATAGGATGTGGTCACAAATAATCAATGCCCTCTCCTCCATTTCTCCATCCTATTAGGATCTGAGGCATGTGTGCACACATACCTAGCATTTTTTCAAGCCACTAGGACCAAGGTTCAAATTGTATGGTTGGCCATGTGGGATGTGGCTCCCTTAACTACTAATGGGGCTGGCCCGCTTATGAATTTTTAATGTTCTATAGTCCATATAACCTATTATACGTAGAAAATATATACAGACACATACATATACATATATAATTTTTTTTTTAGATTTTTGCCTTAGGACATGTATACTCATTAGAGAAAGAGACAAAGAGAGGAAAAGTGGGAAATCACCCCCCCCCAGGGAAATGGCTACACCACAATCCCTTCTTCTCCATTCTCCTCTCGGAGTTGTGGGTATGCATGTACCCATGCCCAGTGTGATTTTCAAGTTGCCAGGGCAGGGACTCAAACCGTGATCAGCCATATGGGAATTCAGTACCTTAACTACCATGCCCACCATGCCACCTGCTGACAATATATACATACATACATATATACATATGTGTGTGTGTGTGTGTGTATTTAGCAGTATACAATCAGATTTCAAGTTAAAAGTTACAAGCACATGTTAGCACAGTAGGTAAGATTATTTCTCTACACAGACCCAAATCTGAAAGTATATTAGAAGTATATCTTTCTGATTTAAGGTCAGTTAAAGAGGAACATGGCAAAAACGTCAAAAGCTAAATTTACATTTTACCTCCATTTTTGCTTTGGAGAGAAAATATCTAATATGATACAACTCAAATACAAAGTCGGCCTTACCAGGTACCTTCTTTTCTAACTGTTGCTGTTCGTCTTCTAAAACTGGTTCCTCTGGTAACCGCTGATCTACAGATGCTGAGCTGACGACAGATACACCACTGCCTGACCGCACTCTTCTGCAATCGCGGAAAAGAAGAAGAAAGAGAAGAGATTTACGCCAAACTGCCCAGGGAGAATTGAACGAGTTATGAAAAATAGTTTTAATAGCTTTTACCATATTATGGACAATGTACAGTAAGGAAAAAATAAAGATTTAGTCTTCTCTACTTAGAATTTTTTTTTTTTGGAGAGATTTTTACTATAGGGCGCATGCGCTCGCCAGACAGACAGAGAGAGACATTAGAGACAGAAAGCGAGAAATCACCCCCCAGGGGGGATGGTCACGCCGCAATCCCTTCTCCTCCATTCTCCTCTTGGGATCTTGGGCACACACGCACACGCGCCCGGCATGAGTTTTAAGCCACCGGGTCTGGGACACGAACCTCAGTCGACTACGTGGGAGTCCAGTGACATAGTCATTACGCTAACCGCTGGTTCCCCCTCTACTTAGAATTTTTCATCAGACTTTGAATGTCATCAGACTCTGAGTGCCAAGTCTGCTCAAAGTGTTCAAAACTGCCACCCAAATAAGGACTGAAGTAGTGAGTAATCATACAAATGGTCAGAACAACGCCTGGGATAGTAAGCCCTCAGTAGGGGTTAGCCGCTATTGCCGCTTCTTTCCTTCCTTCCTCCCTTTCCTTCTTTCCTTCAGGTTTTTGTCGTAGGGAGCATGCCCTCACCCGGCATGACCCTCAAGCCACCAGATCCAGGACTCGAGCCGTGGTCTGTCATGTGGGAATCCAGTGACATAACTGCTATGCCACCTGCTGGCCCTGCCATTCCCTCTTAAGTGACATTAAATTCCATCTAGCTAATTGAGATGACTTCTTTTCCCTTTACAAAGTCCCTCCATTTCCTCCCCTTAATAAACAGGTGAAATACCTGTACTGTACGGTTCTTAAAACAACCACTTAGTTTACTGATGAGCTTCATTTTAAACATTTAACCTCGCTCTTTAAAACAGTCTACTTACACTTCTTTTTATGCTTTTAAAAAGAAGCTCCAAATGTTCTATGTCTTTTGTAGTGATTCTTGCAGCTGTGAGATTTTATAGACAGACTGCCTCAGTTACCTGTTGCTCTTTCATGGTCATGCCTTTCTCAGCTGGCTCCTGAACCATATGTGCTGACAGTGATGGCTCTAATTCTCTTCATGTTAGGGGGATTTCGTCCCAATCTTTCCTGAAGTTTGAGGTTTCAGACAGAACTTTTTTTTTTTTTTTTTGAGTTTTGCCAGAGGGTGTGTGCTTGTTAGAGAGAGAGGCGCTGAAAAGGGAAGTGAGAAATCATTCCCTAGGGGCAATAGCCACGCTGCATTCCCTTCTCCATATTCCTCCTAGGATTTTGGACATACACACACACACACACACCCCAGCATGACTTTCAAGCTGCCAGGTCCAGGACTCGAATCTCAGTCAGACACGTGGAGTCCATCACCTTAACCACCATGCCACCTGCTGACCCCAGAACAGAAATTCTTAACTTTGTTTCTTTCATTCTTCTTGTACTTATATGATCACATATGTGTCTTCTATATTTAAAGCCAGGAGATAGATCTGTCTAGGACAGTGGGTGCATGCATGCATGTGTGTAGGAGAGGCGGCCATCACGGGTTTCTTCCTTGGGAGACTTTCTTGACACTCTACTGAGACTGTGTTCCATACCAGGAAACTTTTCTCCCTGAGTAAGATTCCTATGTTGCTGGCATTTCTGTTAGCTCTTGAATGTGCAGAATTCACAAGTACAATCTCCTTGATTTATTTTCTATGCACAGTCTCATACACTCGACTTCACTACTAGCATCTGTTCCTAAAATTTCTGGCAAGCTCCGATTACAAAGGTTGGTACAAAAATCAACAATGTTTCAATGTTTTACTTGATTATTTTACTAATGTACTACAAGTACTCTGAAGAACATTACAGGCCCAGGATTAACACATAACCTAGATTGGAAAATTCTCTTGAATTCATGGAAATTTCATCTATTTGCCAGAAATGAAATCCAAAGATATATAGTACAAAAAGCCAAGTTTGGAAATCATAAGCTAAGCACACAATTTCTCACAAGAGCCAAATAATCTTTACCTAAAGGAGGGTGGAATGTATTCTGGAGGCAGGACAGGCGGCAGTGGTTGGCCAGACATAGCTACATCAATTAGGTGCATAGCCAGGATAAATTCTTCGGCTGTGAGTTTTCCATCTTGATCGATGTCAGAGAGATTCCTATGGAACAAAAAGTTCATTGTAATCATGAAAATGCATGCTTCTTACTACTCATGAATGATTTAAAAGTTCTGTTTTCTTATTCTGATTCTAGGTCAACTGATTCTCTCTGTACTTCAGTTTGTAAAAAATATCTATTTCATGGTGTTGCAAAGCTAAAACGGGTTACAGCTGCGATGGTGTTCAGTAATTTTTTTTTTTTTTCAGTTTTTGCTACAGGGCATATGTGCTCACCAGAGACAGAGAGAGAGAGAGAGAGAGAAAAAAAGAGAGAGAGAATCGCCCTCTCCCCTAGAGGAGACAGTCACGCTACAACCCCTTCTCAATTCTCCTCTTGGAATTTTGGGCACACACACACATGCCCCTTGTGTGGTTTTCAAGTTGCTTGGTTGAATTGCGTAGTCAGCCAAGTGGGATCAAGCCACCTTAACCATTATGCCAACAGCTACCCTGTAAAGATACCCTTCTCAATCTCTGAAAGCCCATTTAAAATATACCATAATTATATTCATATTTCTTTAAACACTATGTCCTAGATCAAATATGGACAAATTACTGGTAAAGGGTCAGGTAGTGAATACATTTTATAAAACATACAGTCTCTGTCATACTGAATTGTGTCCTTGTGGCAGGAAAACAATTATAGGTAACACATATATAAATAGGCAGGACTACTTTTACAACAAAACTTCATCTACAAAAACAGGTGCAGTCTGGCTTCAGCCTCTAGGGTTGAAGGAATATATGGAGGAATCTTCATGGCCTCTAGTCACAGAGCCAAGGCGTTTCCTCCTGCTCAATTACTAGACTGTATCTCCACCATTCTTAATAGTGGAGTGAACTTGCCTTCAGAGCTAATTACAGTAAGCAGATTTTCCTAGAAAGATTTTTACTTAACCACTTCTGGACAAAAGAAGTACAAGGTAACACATCTGATCACTAGAGTGTCAAAAGAAAAAGAGCTACATTGGACCAGCCCTGTGGTGCAGCGGTTAAGCCCTGTGCATTGGGAGCTAGATTCCACATGGCTGACCAGGGTTTAAACCCCAGCTCCATCACCCTAAAAAGTTTGCCAAGTACATGTTTATGTGTGCCCCAAATCCTGATGAGATAGAGAAACGGAGGAAAAAAGACTGTAGCATGATGACGCCCCATTGGGGAAGTGCTTCCTCTCTCTTTCTCTTTATCTCTCTGTCTCTCATGAGCAGATGTATCCTCTAGCAATTAAAATAGAAAGAAAAAATACGATATTAGGAAACTGGATTTTCTTTCTTTCTTTCTTTCTTTTTTTTTTTTTTTTGAGAGGTTTTTGCTATAGGGCACACATGCTTGCCAGACGGACAGAAAGAGACAGAGAGATAAAAAGTGAGAAATCACCCCTCGGGGGGATGGCCACGCCGCAATCCCTTCTCCTCCATTCTCCTCCCGGGATCTTGGGCACACATGCACACGCACCTGGCGTGAGTTTAAGCCACCGGGTCCAGGACTCAAACCGCGGTCAACTACGTGGGAGTCCAGAGACATAGCCGTTACGCCAACTGCTGGTCCCAGAAACTGGATTTTCTAATGTGAGGATTACAAAACCTTCCTTTAAATTCCAAAATTTCTTTAGTTGCCATAGCTTTTTTTTGTTATTAAGGTATAACTTTAATATACTAACATTCATTCTTTTTAGAGTATAGTTCTGTGAGTTTTGACAAATGAATTCAATTATGTAACTATTACCACAATATATAGAACAATGTCAACTGCTGTTCTATTTTCGGTTCCTGTAGTTTTGCCTTTTCCACATGCCAGACAGTTTTTTTTTTTTTTTTTTTTTTTTTAAAGATTTTGGTCATAGGGTGCATGCACTTACCAGGGAGAGACAGTGAGAGGAAAAGTGAAAAGTCACCCCTGCCAAGGGGCATGGCCACGCCACAATCCCTTTTCCTCCATTCTCTGCAATCATGCCATGCACATGCAGCGTGATCTTTAAGCCACTGGGTCTAGGATTTGAACCATGGTCAGCCATGTGGGAATCCAGGGACATAACCGCTACACTATCTGCTGGCCCTAGACATCCACTTTTAAACAGAACTGAATCACAAATAAAAACCCTTGCCTACTCTTCCTTATTTTTTATTTTCATGCTTCACCATTCGTTACTTTTACAGTCAGCAGAAGGCAGTTGAAGGACCAGCAGATGGCATAGTGTTTATGTCACTGGACTCCCACATGGCTGACTGCAGTTTAAGTCCCTGACCAGGTTGCTTCAAAATCACGCTGAGTGCATGCGCATTCATGCCCAAGATCCTAGGAGGAGAATGAAAGAGAAGGGATTGTGGCATGGCCATCCACCCTAGGGGAAATGTCTCACTTTCCTTCTCACTGTGTCTGTCTCTCTTTTTCTCCAGGGAGCATACCCAACCCCAGGCAAAAAGCTCTAAAGAAAAAAAGAAAGCTGTTGGAATTTACTTGTTTCCCCCCCACATATGTAGAAGGAGAATATAATAATATCCTAATAGGAGAAGTTTCCAGTGTTGTCTTCAAAGAGGGCAAGTTATAAACGAGAAATTTAAAGTAAGTCTTTTAATATATTCTGGTGCCATATATTAGAGCAACCTAACAAAATGTCAATCAACCTCTATAGAGTTATTTTTTTTCTTTTTTTTTCAGTATTTATTTAATTTCATTTGTTATTTATTTATTTTTTTAAATTTGACCAAAGAGAGAAAAAGAGAGGGAGAGAGGAAAAGTGAGAAAGCAAGCCGCCAGATCCAGGATTCAAAACATGGTTGGCCATGAGGGAGTCCAGCGCCCATAATCGCCACACCACCTGCCAGCCCCAACAGAGTTATTTATTGACATATAATAATTGGACATATTTATCAAGTACAGTGTGATTTATCAGTATAAGAATATGATGAATATGATCAAATCATATTCACCACCTTAAACATTTATTATTACTTTGTGTTGGGAACATTCAAAATCCTCCATCTTAGATCCTCTGAAATATACAATAAATTATTGTTAATTATAGCTCCCCTATTGTACTACAGAATATATTCCTCCTATCTAACTATAAGTTTGTATTCATTAACCAGCATCGTCCTATCCTCCAAATCTTGTTTTCTCTTTGTCATAGGGAGTGTGTGCTTGCCAAAGTGGGGAGGGGAGGGGATAGAAAAGCAGCCCCCCAATGGGGTATAGTCATGGTATAGTCCTTTTTCCTCCATTTCTCCATCCTGTCAGCATTTGAGGCACATATTCTCACAAATCTGCTGTGTTTCCAAGCTGCTGGGGCCGAGGTTTGAACTTGGTCAGCAATGTGGGATCGCCTTTCTTTGCATAGCACTTCAACACTGCTAAATAAAGGGGCCGCATCCTCCTAAGTCTGTATTTCAGAGGGCCATAGGATACTAGTCCATACTCAGACCTAAAGAGGTCTGAGTGTATCATAGATACAAAACATTGATTAACAAACTAATTTCCTGCAAAAAGCAAACTCTTCAGTACAAGGCAGAAGAAGCAGAAGGGGATGAGAGCAGAAGGAGAGCTGAACCATTCGTGAGGCAACCATATTAACGTGTCCCATGAAAAAAATCAGGAGCTTAGCATGTGACAAGTGTAGGCCAGGTTTATATTCCAGGCATAACCATCAACACTTAACTAAAAGATGAGCACTCCCCCCGACCCCAATTTGCTATCGGGTGTGTGCTGTCACTGGAGAGACAGAGAAAGAGAGAAAGTGAGGAAAGCGCTCCTGGCGGGGGGGTGTGTATGGCCACCCTCCAATCCCTTCTCCTCTGGTGTCCTCTAAGGATCTGGGGCCTGAATGCACACATGTCCAGCACATCTCTCCAGTCCTGGTCTGGGGATAGACTAGTACAGTCAGTCATGTTGGATCTAGCTGTCTTAACCATCATGCCACCAATTGGCCCAGGTTCACACTTCTTTTCTTCTTCTTCTTTTATTTTTTTTTTTTTTTAGAGATTTTTGCTATAGGCTGCGTGTGATTGCCAGAGACAGAGAGACAGAAAGTGAGAAATCAAACCCAGGGAGATGGCCACACTGCAATCCCTTCTCCTCCGTTCTCCTCTTGGGATTTTGGGCGCACATGCACCTGGGGTGAGTTTTCAGCGGCTGGCCCTGGGACTTGAACCATGGTTGACTACATGGGAGTCCAGAGACATAACTATTACACCATCTGTTAGTCCTCAGGTTCATACTTCTTAAGAAACCATTTGGGTTATCATTTAAATGTAAAAAAACCTGAAGGAATGAGGGAATATTCATCAATAGCTATTAATAATCATTACTGGGGGCCAGCAGGTGGCATAGCACCTATATCGCTAGACTCCCACATAGCCAGCCATGACCCAGTCACTTGAAAATTACACTGGGAGGGGAAACCAGCAGTTAGCGTAATGGCTATGTCGCTGGACTCCCACGTGGTTGACCACGGTTCGTGTCCCGGACCCGGTGGCTTAAAACTCACTCCGGGCGCGTGTGCGTGCGTGCCCAAGATCCCGAGAGGAGAATGGAGGAGAAGGGATTGCAGCGTGACCATCCCATCCCCCCTGGGGGGTGATTTCTCGCTTTCTGTCTCTCTGTCTCTCTCTGTCTGTCTGGCGAGCGCACGCGCCCTACAGTGAAAATCTCTCAAAAAAAAAAATAAATAAAATTACACTGGGAGGCCGGCAGGTGGTGTGGTGTTAAGGCGGCTGTACTCCCACATGGTTGACTGTGGTTTGAGTTCCATAACTAGCAGCTTGCTTTCTTGCTTTCCTTTTCTCTCTCTCTGTCTTTCTCTGGTCAACTTCAAAGAAATAAATGATGACAATGAATAAAATTTAAAAAAATAATTGTTTAAAAAAGAGAGAGAAAAAAAAAAACAAAATCATACTGGGCATGTGTGCATACATGCTCAAGATCCTGGAAGGAGAATGGAAAAGAAGGGATTGCAGCATGGCCATTCCCCCCGGGGGGTGATTTCTCACTTTCCCTCTCACTGTGTCTGTCTCTCTCTGGCACTGTATGTGCCCTAAGGCAAAAGCCTGAAAGAAAGAAAGGAAAGAAAGAAAGGAAGGAAGGAAGGAGGGAAGGAAGGGAGGAAGTAAGGAAGGAAGGAAGGAAGGAAGGAATCTTTATGGCGTAGGCTCAATGGCACGGTGGTAACATGCTGCTCAAGGGGTGCTGGATCCACGTGAAAGGTCACAAGGTTTGGTTCCCTGGTCAACCTGTACATGCCAACCACATGTGCCCATAAACCTGGTTGGCTGGAAGCCGGGGAGCGAGTGTGGGGAGGAGAGGGTCGAAGCATAAGGCCGTGTTAAAGCTGCTTATCTTTCCTTCCTTTTTGTTTTTCATTCTCAAGAAAGAAATAATTTTTTTAAAAAAATCACTTCAAAATAGAGACAGTATGCGCCTCCTGATGCAAGTACACAAGAACATGTCCAGAGTAATTTTGCCAAAATAATCAAACTTGAACCTGGTCACTGGTTCTCAAGCAGAAATTATTTTTATACTGCCAAAGACATCTGTCAGAATCTGAAGGCATTTTTTTAAATTATTTTATCTAACTTTATTTATTTATTTACTTATTTTAGTTTGACCAGAGAGGGACAGAGTGAGAGAGGGAAAGTAAGAAAGCAATTCGCCAGGTCCGGGACTTAAACCGCAGCAGGCCATATGGGAGTCCAGCACCCCTAACCACCACGCCACCCGCAGGCAGGCCCTGAAGACATTTTTGATTGTCACAACCAGGGGGTAGAGATCATGCCACTGGCACCTAACGAGCAGGGGCCAGACATGCTACTAAACATCCTGTAATGAACAGGACCGTCCCTCACAACAAAGACTTATTGGCCCCTAAATGTGAGAAGGCTGAAGGTGAGAAATCCTACTTTATATTAATATCTAATTACCCATTTATAGGAAATATAGGAACACATTAAATGCCACCACAGGGATGCAGCCGTCACAAGTCAGAGCTTTAAGAAGCTGTGGGCACTGGTTTATGGCATAGTGGTAAAGCACGGTTCTAGAGAGGCTGGGTTGCACTGAAGTAGAGGTTCAGGGCTCAGCCCAGTTAGCATGAAGCTGGGCATGTGCATGAGTACCCAAGCTCTGACGGCCAGAAGAAATGGAGGAAGGGACTGTAGTGTGGTCAGACCTGTGGAGGGGGCTTCTCTCTCACACGCACGTGCGCTCTATTATAAATAAAAGGAAAAAAAAAAAAACTATAGAGAAAATGAATTGGTTTGCTTTTATGAGTTCTGGAAAGGAGAAGCTTGAGGGAGTAGTAGAGAACAAGACAAAGGGAATTTACAGATCAAAGGATGTAACCATTGAGTATTGCAAAAGACAGATTGAGTCCTGATTTAAACAAACTATGAAAAAATTATGAGGCAATCTAAAAAATTTGAATACTATCTGTTTAACTTAATGAAAAGAATATTAAAATTGTGCCAGCAAGTAGCATGGTGGTTAAGGCCTCTGGATTCCACATGGCTGACAGCACAGTTCAAGTCCCAGACCCAGAGGCTTGAAAAACACTGCAGGGGTGTGTACATACATGCCCAAATCCTGAAATGAGAGAGAAATGGAGAAAGGACTGTGACATGCCATTCCCATGGAGTGCTTTCTCACTTTCTCTCTCTCATCATCACTGTCTCTCTCTGGTGAGCACAGGCCCTCTCTGGCAAATTTAATATAGTATAATAATTGAAACTTGGCTTAAAATAATTGGGAAAGAGGAGGGCAGAGCCAAGACAGTCCATGAGTTGAACATTGTTAAACTATGTTAAGTTCTTGAGAATTCCTTGCATTAATCTCTCTGCTTTTATAGTTTTCGAAATCAGTAAGGGAGGGACCAGCAGGTGGTGTGGTGGTTAAGGTGCTGGACACTCCCACATGGCTGACCACGGTTCAAGACCTGGACCTGGTGGCTTGCTTTCTCACTTTTGTTCCTCTCTCTCTGTATGTCTCTCTCTGGTCAAATTTAAAATAAATGAATGAATAAATAAATAAATCTTTTAAAAAAATCAGTAAGGGAAAAAGTAACAGAGACAACTACCACAATTCAATGAGAAGTAGTTATGGCTCTAAATATCCTCCCATAAATAACAGTATTAATCAAAAAAACCCATGAGAGGCCATACCAATCTAAGAAAGAAAATTTCCACTTTACACAAACCAAGAAAGGCTCCTTCCTTACCATATTGAAGCCAGCTGAGCCTGGGGTAAACTTGATTGCATAAGAATAGTTCTTGCTTGGGGACCTAAACAAATACCAGGAAAAAGAGATAAAGATGAGTCATCAATTACTTACTGAAGAGAACAGTCTACTTGCATTTGTACTGTGTAATCTCAAGAAATTACAAAGCTTTAAATTATATTTGCTATTACCCCAGGAGCTTTTACAAAAGGAAACAAAGCTCCAGTGAAAAAGGAGAGAAACACAAAGCACAGCTCAGCATGACACACGCTCAATCAATTTTGGTTAAATGGATGTTTTAATAAAGAGTAAGTACAATATTACAGCTCAAAAAAATGATAATTAGCCCTTTTGTCTGGACTGCCATCTCCATTTGTACTGGGCTTCTATTTACAAAGCTAAAACTTACTCTAAATTTAACATCTTCATCCACTACCTACTGCTTCTAACAAGACCAAAAATCAGACAAATTCAGGGAAGATTTAGGGAATCTTAGGGGAAGAAGGGACCTTGGAAGGATCTCTTCTAAATATTTCATTGCACAAGCTTTAATGGGGAAAAAAAAGGTAAATTGCTCAACTTTACACAAATGGTTAACATCATAGCCAGAATTAGAAAACATTTCCTGTTAGTGGAAAAATAAAATTCCTGGCACTTCATCTCATCTTTCAAAATCAGCTCTCATTTCTTAATTACAAATATCTTCATTTCTGGTATGAAACTGGCCTTACATACCAGACAAAAAAGCTGCAACAGATGTTGGAGTGTTTCAATGAACCAGCGTCAAGGAGACAGACAAACATGCCTCCTTTCCAGCACTGCCTCTCAAGTGTGGCCCCAGGGAAGACCGAGCAACCAAGAAAAGGAAAGCTGTGGTAACTAGGTTGGGAAGGTTCCTGTGTGTAAACTGGTACTCACTTTAACTATCACGTCATCAAAAACACAGCGAGCAGTAGAGTCAGGGATTCCTGAGGATCAGAGGTTCTAGCATATGGAAGCCCCAGAAAATGAGGGGGAAAGTGTCAATGATTAGGAGGTTGTGGGCTTTGGTCCTGGTTCAGTCCAGACTGGCTGAGTGACTTGGGGAAGGCAGTTCCTCCCTCCATCTGAACCCCCCTTTCCTCATTTCAGAGGCTCCTTCCAAGTGAACAGGTCTGTGATACATCATATAAGAGATCACAGCACTGACTTTAGCATAATGTTAGCACAGGAAAGTGCTCAATAATGGTAGTTAATGTTACCAACAGCATTTTAACTTCTATTTACATATCAAATACTGGTAGAAAAGTACACCTAAATATACACATGTGCACAGCACACACCTTAACTTGCAAACTAAAAATATTTTAATAGTAACCAAATCAAGAAACAGAATACAATTAGACCCCAGCAGTCCCTCTTTGTCTTCCTTCTGGTATCCACTGCCGCCCAGGGTAGCCAACTAATAACCATATACTACGCTCTCTGTTATATCTGACTTACTTTGTGCAATATGTTGTTATGTATAGTTGTAGAACATTTACCTCACTGTTACAGAGTACATCATTGCGTGATGGGCATTCAGGTAGTTCTCAGTTTGGGGTTATTATGAATACTCTAAGTTTGGGTGAACGTATGAATATACACCTGCTAGGCAGATGACTGTGTGTGTGTGTGTGTGTGTGTGTGTGTGTGTGTGTGTACTGGTAGCATCTAAGAATAATAAATAACCTGTGAAATTAATGCACATATTCTAAAGGTTCTGTGATATATTAGAATAAGGGAAGTTCAGATTATTTTCTTTAAATTCTGTAATATTATATTTAGAATGCTGGCAACATTAAAGTAAAGTTAGCAAAGCCTTAGAGAATGCTTTCACTTTCAATCTAACAATCCTCCCTACTCTGGAGTGATATTTAAAAAATTAACATTTTGTTTACTCCAGATAAAAAGCATAACGATAAATGTGAACTAGTTCTACATCCAGTTATCAAGGAGACTCAACTCCCTAACAATATTTGGCATTAATAAAACTACTTTAGCTCTCTCAAGTGAAGTTAGTTCCTTCATCTCTAAAATGAGAGAAATAACGTAGAAGAGGGATCAGCAAATCACAGCTTGTACGTCTTATCTGGCCTGCTGCCTATTTTTATAAAATTTTACCAAAACCCAATCATGCCCATTCACTTAAGCATGATATATGGTTACTTTTAAGAATTATCTATGGCTGTTTTCTAAGTATAAAAGCAAAGCTGAATAGTTACAACAGAAAACATATGGCCTACAAACCTAAAATAGTTACTGTCAAAAAAAAAAAAGTTACTGTCTAGATCTTTATAGAGGAAAAATTGCTAATCCCTGCACCAGAAGATCACAATTGTATCTTAAAATTGTGATATTTGACTTCAAGATAATAAATACGTATTTGAGAAGAGGGTCTAGTATGAATAGGATTACCAGAATTCTAGAGCTTTTACATAATCTGAATTAAAGAATAGGCCCTTTCTATTTTATAAGGCTGTCAAAGTATGCAACAGCACACACATCGAGTTGTGAAGGAGGAATGGAACACCCACCTGGTGAGCTGCACCAGCTGAATAGTCCCAAGTAGTCAATTTGGTAACTAGTGCCAACTTTACTGCACTTCCCAAGGTGGCCTATCACATAGCACAAGATCAGAGGTTCTCATTCTCCTCTATTAGAACGAATCAATGGCGTTTTTTATTTTATTTTATTTTTTTTGGAAGGTTTTTGCTATAGAGCGCATGTGCTCGCCATACAGAGACAGACAGAGAGACAGAAAGCGAGAAATCACCCTCGGGGTGGGGGTGGTGGCCATGCCACAATCCCTTCTCCTTCGTTCTCCTCTTGGGATCTTGGGCACGCACACACACACGCCCGGCGTGAGTTTTAAGCCACCGGGTCCGGGACGCGAGCTGCGGTCGACTACATGGGAGATAAGTGACATAGCCATTACGCTAACTGCTGGTCCCTCAATGGCGTTCTTATGCTCACAACACACTCTTTACAAACATAGCCAGGATCTGAAGGTATCCAAAAGAAGTGATATGAAAGTAAGACACAATGGTAATCAGGAATCCTAAGTACCAACAGGACATTACCGGAGATCATTTAGCTTTGCTACAGTCTTGCAGCAAAGCTGTTAGCAAAGCTGATCACAGATCAGCTAGGCTACAAGTCATATGCAATTCTGAGAGAGCTCATGATAATTACGCCCCACTCCAAAAACACAAGCAAATGCAAGTGAGTGAAAGAGACAATTTAAGGAGAACCTAGATTCACTTCCCTTTTTCTTTAAGGAATTACATATTTAATTTTACTTGTCATTATTATTTCTTAATTTGACCAGAAGGAGACAGACAGAGAGAGAGAGAAAAGGCAAGTGAGAAAGCAAATCACCTATTTACATGAAAACAAATCATCTCTAACTCCTATACTTTAACTGGTACCCTAACACCAAGATGTCACAATGCCAAATTGAAGACTACTGAACTACATTAAATTATAATCATGTACATGTTGCAAAATGCTTTTTGTTGGGTTGTCTGAAAAGTCATAATGATTTTTGCATAGGAAAACATTTCACGACTTTTCTAATGACCCAATAGTTCCTTTAAAATGAGAACCCACGAAAAAGAAAACCAAGAAAGACGAAAAACAAGAGATTAAGAATATTAAAATTACATATTTCACTTAGGCCTCTTTGTACAGTGGAGCCTCTTCTCAACTTCCTTGATACTAACACTTATCTCAGCTGAACGAATAGCTTTGGGGATTCTGAATTCACAGAATTCTTTTCATAGTTGTGATCAAGATGATGACCTTTCACCTATCTCATCTATTTTGTCTGTATCAATGCATCAGCTCTGTCCTCATCTATAGTCTAATTTAACCTAAGACACAGCTAATTCCTCGTAAGTACATAAAGGAAAAACAAATTAAATTTATGTATTTCTATTCTTAAATTTACTGTAATAAGTTATTTGACTTAACATGACTACAAAAAGGTCTGGTTTGAAAATAAAATTCCCACCTTAATTTCTTGCTGGAACAAAGTGGTAATAAGAATGTAGATAAACAATAGCAAAATCTGCTTTCTTTCCAGTATATTTCAAATTTTACTTTCTGCCTCAGGTATTAAAAAGTTCTAAGTGTTCAAGTGCCTGGAACATTATATTTGAGATGTAGATACTGCATTTCATTCATAAAACACACATCCTAGCAAGAAAGAAAGAATTTCTAAATCAATGTTGCATTTGAATACTAGTTTAATTAGCTCACAGCAGACACTAACACTGATTTGAAAAAAACATTTTGAAATTCACTGGTAATGCAGTTCTGGGTTAGTATGGAGCATGGGTGTCAAGTAAACCACAGAAAACGTTACTTAAAACTACATTATTGAATATTACTTCAGTGCTGGCATAGGCTAGATTAGTTTTCATACTATGTATAAAAACAACAGGGACATCGCATAATGGCTATGTCGCTGGATTCCCATGTAGTCAACTGCAGTTCGAGTCCTGGACCCAGCGGCTTAAACTCACACCAGGTGCATATGCATGTGTACCCAGGATCTCTAGAGGAGAATGGAGGAGAAGGGATTGCAGCGTGGCCATCCCCCCAGGGGATGATTTCTCACTTTCTGTCTCTCTGTCTCTCTCTGTCTTTCTGGTGAGCGCACGTGCCCTATAGCAAAAATTTCTCCAAAAAAAGAAAAAAACAAAACAAAACAAAAAAAAAACACAATAGTGACAGGGACCAGCAGTTGGCATAATGACTATGTCCCTGGATCCCCATGTAATCGACCATGGTTCGAGTCCTGGACCCAGTGGCTTAAACTCAAGCTGGACACGTGTGCATGGGTGTCCAAGATCCAGAGAGGAGAATAGAAGAGAAGCAACTGTGGCATGGCCATCCCCCCTGGGGGGTGATTTCCCACTTTCTGTCTCTCTCTGTCTTTCTAGTGAGCACACACACCCTATAGCAAAAATCTCTCCAAAACAAAACAAAACAAAACAATAACGACAGTGATGACTTTAGCAGGGAGTCAATGTGACAACAGAGAATTCTGAGAATTTGTGTCCCTTCGGATACAAATTATGTGCTTGTTTCAGGTGACTACTGTGATACTTTTTGAAAAAAGGGTTCAAGATTACGTCAGAATCCTTCAAAGTCTCAACTATCGCTGACATTTTTAAACAACAATCCATTTTTTTTCTCAGAGGTAAAAATTGCAATTTTAAGTAACCGCAAAAACAAAAAGGTAGTAAGAATCAGTATTTAAAGTGTTTAATGGGGACCAGCAGGTAGTGTCATAGTTAGGTGCTTGATCCCATGTAGTCAGCTCCACGGCTTGAATCTCAGACTCAGAAGCTTGAAAAATATGCCAGGCACATGTGTATGTGTGCCCAGAATCCTAAAAGGAGAAATCAAGGAGACGGGATTGTGGAGTGGTCATGGGGGATGATTTGTCACCTTCCCTTTCCCTCTGCCCTCTCTCCACCAAGCGCCAGTGTCCTATGGCAAAAATCTTAAAAAACAAACAAACAAACAAAAAAGTGTTTCATTTTATATACAATGTCTTCTCCCACCACCACCCCAGGGAAATTAACATTTTCTTTCTTCTTTTCATATCTGTTAAGAGGCAGCAACATTTTCTTTCTTCTTTTCATATCTGTTAAAATGCATTTAAGATTTTTTTTCTTTTTCATTTACCATTCATTTTAGAGGCCTTTTTCCCTTTATTAAAGATACACTTTTCCTTATAACTCTCTAATCAGGTTTAAGTATAATTCATAAGAAAGGTTTTGGATAGTATTCCAGAATTCTCTCTTCCTCTGATGTCGATAACAGAGAATCTCTTTTTCTTTCTTCCTTCCTTTCTTTCCTTCTTTGTTTTTGTTTTTTAAATTCATATAACTTAACTCTGGCCTTTTACAAATGAAGAGGTAACACAGAAACCACTGACCTTAACAAGACAGTGGCAGAGCCATGGGACCAACTCCCCAACCGTTCCCGGCTACGACCTCAAACCTGGCAGGCAGCTCCAACGTCATCTAAAGAGCTGAGCTCCAGAACCTGCACCCACTTTCTCTCCCCAGAGCACTTCTTTGCTAGTGCCTTGACTTGCTAAGAGTGGTTTTCAGTATACAGGAGGATCCCTGCTCTGTGTTCGACTTGACCAAGAAGACTGGGGGTGAGTGTTGAGACACACTGGAGAATAAAGTAATTATCAAAGGAGTTATAACACTGGATAGCAGGGGTGATGACAACTTGACTTAGAAATAAGCAAATACAGAAAGATGTTTGTGAACTATCTGTCACCAAATATCTACAAGCAACCTGCAGGTAGAACAACGATCCTATCTCACTGAATTAACTTTAACTGTAAATACCTGTTAAGTGTCCACTCATAGTTTTGTCATGACTATTGAATAGTTGCCTGTATTTCAGTCTTGATGACTGGGGGACGGCCCATTCTGCTGCTGGAGGGACACTGTGGGGAAAGAGGAAGGAGCAAAAGAGGGTTAGGTGTAATGAATGGCCTATGGAAGTTCTTTAACACGGTAAACTAAGAACATTGCCAGATAAAAATATCTCCTTCCACACTTCTTTTCTAATCACTTTTTCAGAATCGTCTGTAATAAGTATCTCCCATTTTTAAGCATATAAATTTTTCTCTCAAAATAGGTTAGCTCGTCATTTTTCCGGAATCAAGAGTAAACACAACAAACCACGTGGCCAATTCAAGTTATATACTCAATTTAGTAATTTAAAGGTTCCACAAAAGCATGGAAAATCTCCCTGGAACTGAGGTGATAAGCTAATGTCCAGGCTTTTCTAACCTTAAGCAATCTTTTTTGGTTAAAAAGTAATGCTGACAACAAACAACTGGTACTTTCAAAGTACTAATTCTCCAAAATGTTTAACTTTCTGTACATCAAAATATGAGGGGACTTCAAAAAGTTCCTGGTCGACCATATGGGAGTCCAGCACCTTAGCCACTATGCTGCCTGCTGGCCCCTCAATTCTAGGATTATAAATTCCCACCAAAGGGAGAGTTTTTGAGAGAGAGAGAGAGAGAGAGCGAGCGAGCGCAGAGCATCTCCAGAGTCGTGGCAAATCAGAGGCACAATAGCAGGCAGAACACCACTTTCTCGACTGCAGTCTAGACCAGACTTGCTGATGTGCTGCCACCTCACCTGAGAAAACCCCCAGCTAGCAGTTCTGGTTCCTGGATGCCACAGCCCACACTAGTATCACACTGGTACCAAGGGCTTTGTGAAGAGTCTGATGACTACATGGAGCAATTTAAACACAACAGCTGAGGTGACAATAAAAATGACATTCCATTTCTAGGATCGATTATAACTAATGTGCCATGTGCAATTTCCTTTTATTTCAGCAAACATATTTTTCACAGGTCAAAACAAAATTGTAATCATCATTTAACTCTTAGTCATCATGTATATGTGTTATCTATGCACTTATACTTACTATATAGAATTCATACAGCAGGGAAACAGATCCCAAACAGTTGAAAAGCACTTATATAAACCCTCCTTTTTCAATTTGTATTAATTTCTTAATAAAGAGCACTTACCATGATATATTCTGCTGTAAGTACTTCTGCAACAACTCCCTCATTTTAAACTAGCTAGTTTTTGCCAATTCCAACTTCTGCCTATTTGTCAAGAAGCTAACTATCTTGCTCCTGCACTCCAAGATTTAGGGTGTTACACCCAGAAGTTGTTTCAGATTACACTTATCAAGTCATAGTTTCCAGCCAAGTTCCCAAGAATTTAAGTAAACTAAAAGCTCATTAATATGTTACCCAAAAGTTACAAACCAATTTGTAACAATCTACTAGAAATTTAGTGACTGGAAAAAATGACTGCTAACATAAAAAATCCAGTTATTATAATAGCACTAATGTTTGCTAACACAGATTATTTATTCATTCAAATGCCATAAACCAATTTTAAGGCAGATTTCAAAATTCTTTGTGGAAAGTCACAGAAAACACAAAACTTCAACATGGTATATACAGGAGAAAGAATAAAAAAGTAGAACTTAGTGTCGGATGATTTGAGTTTAACAATGAATTCTACCGTTTCCTAAGCTGTACCTACACCCAAGGAACTGGACTTCTCTGGGTTTGCTTCCTCATCCACAGTCTAGGAATATCCACTCCACAGGTGGTTGTGGGGTTCAATGGGATTAATCAGATGCCTGCCCAAATAGATGTGGTTCAACAGATGCCCAAGCATCTTAGGAGTGAAATCTTAATTAAATAGAACACAGGTACCTGCAGGTCACAATTAATTCAAGTTTTTCAGAGAAAATTTGCACAGTTAATAGCACAGGCCTTAAAAACGGAAAGAACTTATTTTAACTCTTAGCTCTGTGACTTGAAAGTTCTATTTTCTTGACCAAGTTACTTAATGTTTCTGGGCCTGTTTCTCATCTACAACATAGAGAAAATAATAGTCATCTCACTGGGAAAAATGAGTTAGTGTGCATAAAACTTTCCTGCTTATGGATTTTCTTTAAATCATTTAAAAGGTAATGCATTATCGAGTTACATTTAACATGTTCTCTTTAAAGTGAGAAAGTGACTTGATTAACTGAAGAGATTTCTACTGAGACAAAAGAATGGGATCATCTACATTTACACTCCTTCCCATTTCAAAAGTTTTAAGACAGCTTACAGAGAGACTTAATTTTTTTTTAAGAATAATGTTATTTAACTTTATTTATTTATTTATTTATTTATTTATTTATTTAAATTAGGCCAGAGAGCGAGAGCGAGAACAAGAGCTAGAGAGAGAGAGAGAGAGAGAGAGAGAGAAGGGACTTGAACCAGAGTTGGTCATGTGGGGAGTCCAGCACCCTTAACCACCATGCCACCTACCAGCCCAGAGAGTTAATTTTTGATTAGTGTAGCAATATGTAAGCGAAAATAGCAAGGGTAAAAGATAACAAAAATATGAGTAAAAATATGAAACAAGTCTGGCTAAAATATAAACAATAAGATTATGTGAATGTTATCAAAATTGATCCATGTTATTTGATTAGGGTAAACTATCCATTAGTCTGAATATTCATTTCATAAAAACTGGTCTCTAATAGAGACACACACTCTATAAGATTATCTGAGATAAAATTAAATATAAGGCCAATTGTGGCTCCAGTCTGCATATAAAAATTTTATATAAACTTTTGGCATATCCTTGATTTTTCTGTCATCTTAGTAATAAACAATAAAACTTAGTGACATCCTGAATTACAGAAGTTATGATCAGTGTTCTACAAAATTAAGGAGGATAACAAATAAAAACATAGATAATTCATTTTCTAATTTATGACTTGATCAAAAATGGCTTTAACTAAACTTACCACTTAAAACAAGCAAACTCACCTGGCCACATCAAATGATTGTGCCTTCTGTAATTTAGTGTTTAATTGTGACCCTGGGCCAGATCTACTGAAGGAAGAACTCTTTGGCAATGTGGCTGCTGTAAAATAAGTATTGAATAATTTTAACTCTACAAAGATAAGAAACTTCCCCCATTCATAAAAATTAAAATGCGTAATAATCAAATCTGAGCCAAAAATAATTCTACCCTTCTTACCAGCCTGTACTCAAAAAGAGTTATTTCCTCCTTACTCTTTGCCCTCCTTCCAAACACATTTCTAGACTGACTTCTGTTGAAAATCTACTTCCTATGTAGTAATGCTGACATCCATAAAATGTTACTCTTCATTAAACATTTACTATCATATTTCATAGACTGCATTCCAATAGTCAGAGATAACAGCTTCCATATATAAGATGGCATTTTCTTTCTTTTTATTTTTTCTTTTTTTGAAGAGGTTTTTGCTATAGGATGTGTGCGCTCGCCAGAGAGTCAGAGAGACAAAAAGCAAGAAATCACTTCCCGGGGGGATGGCCATGCTGCCATCCCTTCTCCATTCTCCTCTCAGGATACTGGGCACACGCGCACATACGCCCGGCATAAGTTTAAGCCACCGGATCTGGGACTCAAACTGCAGTTGACCACATGGGAGTCCAGTGACATAGCCATTTCGCCAACTGCTGGTTTCAAGATGGCATTTTCTTAACTGCACTGAAGGAGTGAAAGTATTAGTTCTAAATGTCAGACTGTAGTCTTGGCCAGATAACATGTGATGCTAGGGAAGTTCAGCTTGGGTGTCTGATTCTCATTCAGACTGATTAGTTAAGTGTCAGGAAAAAAAAAAAAGAAACAACATTCTGAGCCTTAGCTACATTCTCCTCACTCCTGCCTGCTCCTAACAATATTTGCCATTAGCTGCAAAAGAATGGAAGGCTCAGAGGGGGTGGATTTGCTGATCCTACTGGAAAAGCAACTCCATGCACTTGCTTGGCTGTCATTATAAGCAACCATGATCACACATGAAAGGTCTACCTGTGACAAGAAGTCCATTCAGATTCTTTGACTGTCATTTTGAGACAGATCCTGACACATCTTATAAATCCAGGGAGCCACTGGCATAGATACACTAAAATCATGCTGTCATGGCTTCTGAATTTACTCAAAAATAGTCAAAGTAGTTTTAAAAAAAGAAATAATTTCTGGGAACCAGCAGTTAGCGTAATGGCTGTGTCGCTGGACTCCCACGTAGTAGACCACAGTTCGTGTCCCAGACCCGGTGGCTTAAAACTCACGCCGGGCGCGTGTGCATGAGTGCCCAAGATCCTGAGAGGAGAATGGAGGAGAAGGGATTGCAGCGTGGCCATCCCCCCTGGGGGGTGATTTCTCGCTTTCTGTCTCTATGTCTCTTTCTCTCTGTCTGGCGAGCGGGCGCCCCCTATAGCAAAAACCTCTCCAAAAAAAAAAAAAAAGAATAGAAAAAAAGAAATAATTTCCTAGTGATTTGAATGAATAGCATTCATTAAGATTTGTTAGAATAAGACTACCTACAATTTATGATTTCTTTTAATGAAAGGAAAAAAGACATTAAAGTCTCAAATGTAATGAATGAAACCAGAAACTTAAATCCTCTCCTCAATTAGGCAAGCATGCAAGACTATGCCTTTAATCGACTTGCTTCCTTCTCCAATCTGCCTGATAAATTCCACCTCCTCAAAAAAATATGCAATGTTCTTTTTTTTTCCTTTATTTTTCTCCTCACAAACTTCTATCTCTAGGGGATTGTCTCGCTTATTAGCAATTCATATCAGCTAAAGAACAGTAGTAACTGATACATGAAAATACAAAACCATGTTCAAATACTGTTTGACTTCAGTTGCTTTTATCAAGCCCTTGAGAGGAAATTATGCTCTTGGATTGCACTGTTAAGTCCACCTCTTCCACAGTAGCACCCAGAGAACTGTTATTACATTCTTTTTCCTTCTTTCTACACTGGCCTATCTCATTTAATATGAAAAAGAGAGAGAGAGAGAGAGAAATTAAGTAGAAAAAAAAGATATTTTCCTCTGGAATAAAAATATCATTTAAATGTAATCAGAATGTGAAGACAGAAGATTTAACAGGAAATAAAGGTCCTAAAAATTCATCCTGTGTTTCAACAGGCCACGTACCAGGATGAGCAAATGCAGGCAGAGGCTGTATAACTGTGGGAGCCCCGTTAGCCAGGGGAGGCACGGCTGCTGTCGGAACAGAAGATACAAGGGGTGGGGACATTCCAACAACTGGAATAGATCCCATTGGCACTGGAGCAACAGCAGTAAGCGGTGGCATGCTGGCGATACCTCCTATACCTATGAAGAAAAATGTCCCCCAGAATTTCACAATTAATCACATTTTGATAATCAAGATAATCAACTTAGTAGTACTTAGAGGAGGAAACCACATTCTGGATGGAATATACAGTATGCCCACTTAAAATATGGATTCAGATTAAGCATTTATAAGAGTAAGTGAATTATGTCAAAGACCACATATCAAGAAGACTCAAGACCCAACTTAAACAGGGATCAGTCAAGATGAGGATCAAAAAAATAACATTAGTGGACTTAAAACTATCACATATAAGTAAGTCTATGAATTCAAAATTATGTTTAAAAATAAACAAGCAGGGCCAGCAGGTGGCTTGGGGGTTGAGGCGTTGGACTCCCATATGGCTGACTGCAGTTCAAGTCCCGGACCTGGTGGCTTAAAGACCACACCAGGTACATGTGTGTGCGTGCCCAAAATCCCAGGAGAATAGAGAAGGGATTGTGGCATGGCTATCCTCCCAGGGCCCTCTCACTGTCTCTATCTGTCTCTCTCCAGAAAGCACACACACCCTACAGCCAAAGAAACTCTAAAATAAATAAATAAACAAGCAAGCAAAAATCCAAACTGGTTAACATAGAAGGTAGATAGATCAAAGATTAATTATTTTTGAAAACTAGTAAATAAAAAGGGGATAAAATCAAACATTTAACCTGCCTTTACTAAGGGCAATCAAATATTTGACAGGAAGAGGTAAGGGAATATTTCTTTGAAAAAGTATTCTAAGGCCAGCCGCTGGCTTGGTGGTTAAGGCAGCAGGATCCGACATGGCTGACTGAGAAGTTTAAGTCTTAAAGCCAACAGCTGGAAAAACATGCTGGGTGTGTGTGCATGCATGCCCCAAATCCTGAAAGGACAAAGTATATCAAATTTTTTCTGTTTTTTTTTTTTTAAACTATTTTTGAAAAGTTATTTTCCATGTGGTTGTTTTAGGGATTAAATTCTACAAGTTGGGACCAGCAATGGCTGGACTCCCACGTAGTCGACCGCAGTTCGTGTCTCGGACCTGGTGGCTTGGACTCACGCCAGGTGCGTGTGTGTGTGTGTCTAAGATCCCAAGAGGAGAAAGGAGGAAAAGGGATTGCGGCATGGACATCCCCCCTGGGGGTGATTTCTTGCTTTCTATCTCTCTGTCTCTATCTTCCTGGCGAGTGCACGCGCCCTGTAGCAAAAACCTCCCCCCCAAAAAAAAATTAATTCTACAAGTTAGTTCATTATAATCTACTTCTTTTTTCAAAAGAGGTTTTGTTTTTTGTTTGTTTGTTTTTTGCTATAGGGCACATGTGCTCGCCAGAAAGAGAGAGAGACAGAGAGATAGAAAATGAGAAATCACCCCCCAGGGGGATGACCACATCTCAGTCCCTTCTTCATTCTCATCCTGTGATCTGGGGCATGCACATACATGTGCCCGGTGTGAGTTTGAAGCCACTGGATCCAGGACTCAAACCGTGGTTGGCCATGTGTGAGTCCAGTGATGTAACCACTTCACCATCTGCTGGCCCCAATATGGAATTATTTTTTTAATTAAATTAAATTATTATTATTATTAAATTTGACCAGAGAAATGCAAAGAGAGGGAGAGTGAGAAAGCAAGTTGCCATGTCTGGGACTTGAACCATGGTCAGCCAAGTGGGAATTGAGTGCTTTAACCACCATGTCATCTGCCTCCCCCCATATAGGATTCTTAGTTGACTTATTTTCTTTTAGCACTTCTACTGCCTTCTGGTCTCACTGTTTCACATTACAAGTATATTATGAATTCTATCTATGCTCCCCATATACATGATGAGGTGCTTTTCTCTTGCTGCTTTCAAGATTTTATCTTTGTGTTGGGCTTTCTTTGTTTCTATGATGTGTCTAGGTGTGGACCTCTTTATATTAATTCTACTTGAAGTCTGCTGAACTTTAGAATGTGAAGATTAATGCTTTTAACCAAACAGAGGAAGTGTTCAACAGTTATTTCCTCATTTTTTTTTTTTGCCCCTTTCTCTGTATCTGCCGTCTAAGACTCTAATGACATAGATATTCTTATGTTTGATCTTGTCCTACAAGTCTCTGAAGCTTCAATTTTTTAAAAAAATCTTTTTTGTTTTACGTTCTTTAGGTTGAATAACTTCCATTAATTCATTAAATTAACTGATCCTATCTTTGCCATCTTCAATTTGCTGTTGATACCTATGGTGATTTTAAAATTTTAATTATTGTACTTTTCAGGACCAGTAGTTGGTGTAATGGCTGTGTTGCTGGACTCCCATGTAGTTGACAGCGGTTCGAGTACCAGACCCAGTGGCTTAGACTCATGTCGGGCGCGTGTGCGTGTGTGCCCAAGATCACTAGAGGAGAATGGAGGAGAAGGGATTGTAGTGTGGCCATCCCACTGGAGGGTGATTTCTCGCTTTCTGCCTCTCTCTTTCTGGCAAACACATGCAACCTATAGACAAAAAAAAAAAAAAAAAAAATTACTGTGCTTTTCATTTTCACTTCAACAAAAACAAATAATTTTGATAATAAGCTGTTTTTTTGTGGTCCTCCTGAAGTGAAATATTTTCTTTTAATATTTATAATTATTGCATCATAGTTTTTTGTTTTTTGTTCTGTAATTTCCACTTCTTGAAGACTATTTGTTGATTCATTGTTATCATACTTTCCTTTAATTCTTTTTTTATTTTAAGAATTATTTTTAGGGACCAGCAGTTAGAGTAATAGCTATGTCGCTGGACTCCCATGTAGTCAACCGCAGTTCAAGTTCTGGAGCTGATGGCTTAAACTCACGCCGGGCACGTGTGCGTGTGTGCCCAAGATCCTGAGAGGAGAATGGAGCACAAGGGATTGTGGCGTGGCCATCCCCCCTGGGGAGTGATTTCTCACTTTCTATCTCTCTGTCTCTCTCTGTCTTTCTGGCGAGCACACACACCCTATAGGAAAAACCTCTCCAAAAAAAAAAAAAAGAAAGAAAGAAAGAAAAGAATTATTTTTATTTAATTTTATTTATTTTAATTTGACCAGAGAGGGACAGAATAAGAGAAGGAGGAGGGTAAGTGAGAAAGAAAGCTGCCAGGTCCAGGACTTGAACCCCAGTCGTCCATGAGGGACTCCAGCATCCCCAACAACCATGTCACCTGCCGGTCCTTTCTTTTAATTCTTTAAATCTGGTTTCTTTAGTTCTTTGAACATAATTGTGGTTTGAAGCAATTTTATCCACTGAATAAATTCAAAGACCCGATCAAAGATAGTTTCTAACAACTACTTCTTTTCTTGACTGTGAGTCCTACTATCTTGTTTCACTTAAACATTTCATAAATTATAGCAGAAAAATAGGATATTTCAGATAATATTTTGTAGCTATTCAGGCTCTAATTCTCCACCTCTCTTCTTGAATTTTTTCATGTCTGTATTTATTCATTTGCATAGGCTAAAAATCTGAACAATCTATATACTACAATGTGTGTGTCCCCTGGTGGCTATCCTCAATTTTGTTGTTTTAAAACTCTTTTTCCTATCTTAAATCTGGCTTCCTAGGGGCTACCCTATACCTGCAAATAGTGGTCAGCCAAAGATCAGATAAAAGCTGTACTCAAGCACCTCAAGTCCATAAGGGTTCCCACATCTGCCAATCAATCTGTGAGTAAGCACAAAAACGCATTAAAAGTTCAGACCATTTTAAAGTCTTCTCAGCTTTTACATATCACAGGATCTTTTTACGTATCTTGTATAGACAAGCACATAGCTTAAGGCTTGGTCAGGACTTTGTAGCTGGCTTGGGTCCATGTGATCTCAGCTGCACATGTGAACAACCATACCTCAAGATATACTTGCCCTACCCATAACCGCAATTTCAGGCCAAAGCTACTGGTCCCACCTGCTCATCTGCTGCCAAGAGCATCACTTCCACTGACAAATCTGCTGGGTACAGGAATTACTCTTATGGCCAAAGCAAGTCACTCCCTCAAAAACAATCACGAAGTTGCTAGTATCCACAACCTGATCCCCCCGGCGGAGCCTTCACTCTAACCAAGCTGAAGGTTTCCGGATTAGGAATATGCCCAGGAAAGAATGCCACAGACTTCTATTGCTTCATACCTAAAGCTCAACAGCTTTTCAAGCATAAATATTCCCTCTAGTGGATTTCAAGGGCAGTGAGATGGTTATTTGATTAATTCTGTCCAGATTTATAGTTGCCCTTGAGAGAAGAATTTGCTGAGCTCAGCCATGGTTGAAAATCCCCCTGCTGTCTTTTATGTTTCTTTTAATCTGCAGGTCCCTCTCCATCCCTTTCTTTCCCTTATAATCTACCTGTGAAAGACCCAGTCCATGTAACCTGTAGTTTCCCAGTACAAAGACTGGATAAGACCCAGACTGAATCTCTTTGGCAAGACTCTAGAAAGTATATAACATTCTGTTGTTGTTTGTGATCTCAGCAGTCAGAGATGCTTAATGACTATATCAACTGCAAAATAGTGATGATCTATTCCTACCATCATTCTGTCAGTTATTAGCAGAAATATTTTATAAGGAGGTACTTCTTTTTTTTTTTTTAAGACAGAGGTCATGTGTGCTTCCTGGAGAGACAGAGAGAGAGAGAGAAAGAGAGAGAAAGAAAGTGAGAAATCACCCCCTGGGGGGATGGCCACACTACAATCCCTTCTCCTCTATTCTCCTCTCAGGATTTTGGGCATACACACACATGCACCTGGTGTGAGTTTTAAGCTGCAGGGTCTGGGACTCAAACTATATGGGAGTTCAGCGACATAACCATTACACCATTTGCTGGTCCCCATAAAGAGGCACTTCTAATGAAGAACTATTAGTTGGCTATCCAGTTATACAGCTCATGCAGAAAAGGCTTCATGGTAAATTCTGGATTCTATCTTTTTACATTTTTAAGATAATGAATTGGCTCCCTATGATCCTCCTGAGGTGAATATGTGTATATACATGTACACACGCATAGATTTAAACACATTTAAATATCACTTTTAAACAT